GGTATCGAGGTGTGGCGGCGCAGCGTGGATTTGTCGGTGAAGGTCCTGCCGCAGGCGTTGCACATGAAGGGTTTCTCGCCGGTGTGGATGCGGTGGTGCCGCTGCAGCGCGTTCAGCTGCGTGAACTGCTTCCCGCACTGGTCGCAGCAGTACGGCCGCTCCCCTGGGAATGCGCCACGGGACACGGGCTGGGAACGCCGGCCCAGGGAAAACGTCCTGCCCTCTCCATCCTCCCAGCCACACAAAGCCGTGCTGCCTTTTGCCGTGCATTTCCCAGGGATTTTTCCACTGGAGACCCAAGTCCTGCCCAGAATCCAAGGATTCCTCCCCCTGATTCACTGTCCCGCTGTTCCCAGCCCCGGGATCGCTCCCAACACACCGCAAACTCCCCACCAGGAGGAAACTGATCCCGTTTTCCCCCTTCCCTGGATAAACCTCAGGAGCTAAACCCTGGGTCCCCCACGATCCTGGCAGATCACCGAGGTACCTCCACGGCCTGTGGAAGCATCCCAGGGAACGCTGTCCCTCGGGACCAGTGGGAGAAGGGGAGAACACGACAGGTGGAGCGGTGTCCCGGCGGGGGAAAGCCTGGCTGAGAATTCCTCGCTGGAATATTGCAGCGCTGAGGGGTCTGTGTGTCCAAGGAAAGGGGCACAGCCTACCTGTGTGGACCTTGATGTGCTGGTAGAGGGAATTCCGCTGGGCAAAGGTCCGGAAGCAAACCTCACACTTGAAGGGCTTGGATCCCGTGTGGATCCGGTTGTGGTGTTTCAAGTATTCCTTGGAGGCAAAGCTCTTCCCACAGGTCTCACACATGAAAGGCCTTTCTCCTAAAAACAAAAAAAGGGTGGGGGGAAAGGAGGATGAAACCAGCAGAGCTTTGGGAATGCTCCTAAAAAAATCCCGGAGAAATTCCGGGGCGTGTCCTCACTGTGGGGTCTTTTCAAGGTCAGCCGGTTCCAAACGGCTCCACGGGCAGGGACACCTTCCCCGTCCCACTGGCCACTCCCAACCTGGCCTGGAACACTTCCAGGGATGGGGAATCCACAGCTTCTTTGGGAAGACCGTTCCAGCACCTTCCCACTCCCACAGGGAGGGATTTCTCCCCCAAAAAATCCGATTTAACACAACCCTCCCTCAGCTCAAAACCACCTGGGGAACCTTCCTCAGGCACATCCCACCGAGGAGACGACAGCATCTCGTTTTAGCCCCAAAAACACAGATCAAGAGCAGCATTTCCTGAGGGCAGCGGTTTCCCTGGAACGCCTGGGGTTGGATTTTCCCACTTTTCTGGGCTCACCTGTGTGGCAGCGCCGGTGGTAGATGAGCATGTGGTTCTGGGTGAAACGCGCCCCGCACTCATCGCACACGAAGGGCTTCTCCCCCGTGTGGATCCTGCAAGGAAAAAGGGATCTTCAAACTCCAGGGAGAACCTTTCCCCCATTCCCTGGCTGCCCAATCCTTTGGGATGTGAGGGAAAGCCTCTCAGGGATGGCTGCTTTTCCTGGAGAGGCACATCCACCTGGAAAAACAGATCCCAGAGGATGAGGAATTCCCACCACCGGCTGCCACCTCACCCAAACTAAGGCAGCGTTGAGTTCCCAGAGTCTCAAAATTCCTGAAAGGCCTCTGGAAACAGGAAAAAAAACCAACAAAAACCAGGTTTAACCCCTCAGAGAGCATTTTTTTTTTCCCCTTCATAAAAATGTCTCTGGCCCAAGACAGATAAAATAAAGGATAAAATCAGGTTAACCCCCTCAGGGATTATTTTTTTCCCTGATAAAAATTCCCTCAGCAAGATCAAATGGATAAATTCAGGTTAAAACCCCTCAGGGATAATCCTTCCCTTATCAGAAGGCCCTGAGGTAGATAAAATACTGCCAAAATCAGGTTGAAGTCCCTCAGGGTTGATATTTTAAAATACACCCTGATAAAAACACCCTGGGACAGATAAAAACCCAGCGGCTCCGTGTGGGAGTCATGGGGGACGTGCCACCCCCTCCTCTGCCCACATGGAAACTTGGATTTGGGGGGCCCTGAAAGAGAAAACAGGAATCTGAGAGGCTTTAAAGGCTGAACCCCCACATGGAAACAGGGATTTGGGGGGCCCTGAAAGAGAAAACTGGGATTTGAGGGGCCCTGAGGGCTGAACCCAGTATCTGAAGAGAAAAAGGGATTTGGGAGGCCCTCAGGGCTGGACCCCACATGAAACCAGGGATCTGGGGAGCCACAAGGACCAGACCCCACATGGAAACAGGGATTTGGGAGGCCCTGAAAGAGAAACCAGGGATTTAGGAGACCCTGAAGGCTGAATCCCACATGGAAACAGGGATTTGGGCAGCCACAAGGACCGTACCCCACATGGAACCAGGGATTTGCGCAGCCCCACGCCCAGGCCGGCGCCTCTCCCGTACCTCATGTGCGTTTTGAGGGCGGAAGGCTGCGAGAACTTGGCCTGGCACTCGGGGCAGCCGTAGGGCTTGTGTCCCGTGTGCGTCCTCTCGTGCAGGCGCAGGGCGGTCCTGGAGCTGAGCGCCTTGCCGCACTGCTGGCACTGGTGCCGCTCGGCGCCGCCCTCGTGCACCTGCAGCACGTGGCGCCGCACGTCCTTGCCGCGCTTGAAGCGCTTGGCGCACAGCTCGCAGGGGAAGCGGCGCTCGCTGCTGTGCACGTGCCGCTGGTGGCTGCGCAGGTTGCAGCGGTTGGCGAAGGTCTGCGCGCACGTCTCGCAGCGGAACTCGGGCGCCGCCGCCGCCCCGTGGCTCTGCTGCACGTGCTTCAGGAAGCTCTTCTCGTACAGGAACTCCTTCTGGCACGTGCCGCACTTGAAGCCCCCGCCGCCGCCGCGCTGCTTCTTCCTGTCCCCCTCGCCGCCTTCCGCCGGGTTGTCCGGGCGGGCGGCCTCGGCTTCCCCTGAGCTCTCCTCCTGCTTGCACTGCCCCTCCTCGCCCTGGGGCGGCTCTTCCCGCTCGGCGGCGGCGTCGCGCTGCTGCTCCCGCAGCCTGCGGGTGTATTTCTTCTTGGGGAT